CATATATACATTTACTATTTTCCCAAGTGTATATGTCACTACTACTGTAAGAAGATATTCAGCATTCAGTACATATTTTCAGTGTTATCTTAGCTTGAACTGACCTGATCTAATCCTGTTTACATGAGCTGCTGCTCCTGAGCAGGTTTGAGCTCCAGAACTGTTGCTATGACAACAACTCTCAGATGAGTTTTGAAGAACGAAACGATCCTGGATCAGTCAAATCATCCATAACCAAATCCAGCTCACCGAGTAATCCACGTATGAAGAGCAGAGCCCAGGAGCAGGGGTCAAGAGTGTAACTTAAAACACTAATTAAGAATTTAATTAATTTAATGAATTTTCTCTGAAGATACTGGATATTCTCGTCTCTGAGTCAACACATTTAAACTATCATCAAAATCATTACAATACATACCAGAAAACACTGTGATATCATTTTAAGTCCATATCACCCATTCCTAAATCTGAGACCAGTGTTCAGTATCGATCACACACACACACACACACACACACACACACACACACACACAGCAGAAGTGAAGTGTGTATCAGCAGTGAGGCTCCAGTTTTTCCAGTTCAGTCGTGTGCTGTTACAGTAGAGCTCACTCATCAAACAAAACACAGTGGCGTAGCGGACGGGCCCGCAGGGCACGCACCGCGGGGGGGCCCCGCGTGATTAGGGGGCCCCGCGTCGTCGCGATTTTCAATAAACTGTTGGGAACAACTGTGGTCGGAACCAAAGTTCACACGTCTGTGTTCTCTGAACACCTCTCAAGCGGTGGACTTCTTCATTCTGATTGCTTGCCGCCAATGTTGCCAACTTAGCGACTTTGTCACTAGATTTAGCGACTTTTCAGACCCCCTTAGCGACAAATCTAGCGAGTTTTTTATGTGTTATTGGAGATTTTTTTAGACTGTCATTTTTCCATACTGTACCGTCCCTACTCTTCTCAACGAGCTGCGTGTGATGCCGCCTACCCCTCCCCCGCCTCACAGCACTGACAGCCGGCCCAGTCAGTCCTCTACAGCAGCCTCTCCCACCTGCAGCCCGAGAGCAGATCACCCCTCTGCGTACCGACGACAAATGATTTAGCACAGGCAGTGTGAAGGTATTTCCCTTGTACAGTCAAACCGATCTACTTCTTCTTTATTTTAACAATTTATTTGGACCGTTTATTCTTTTCTTGTTAACAATCACAGATATTTTAGTGACAGTTTCTGAACTTGTCTGAGTTTATTTCATATGAGAGATTACTGCACATTCACTAACGTTACACATCTATAATGATATACTGTATTCAAACAGCAATAAATGTAGTTAAATAAACATGCTTATATAAAGTGTAGTGCAATTATAAATACCCCTTTATTAACCATAGGCTGTTAAACAAACAGAAACGGTAGAACGTTATGACGTCAGTGATATGCAAATTGACGTATGACGTATCCCCCCCCTTCATCAGGGGGCCCCGTCAGCGATCCCTGCAGGGGGGCCTCCGCATTTTGCGCTACGCCACTGACAAAACATGATGACTAACACCAACTTTCTCACACACACACACACACACACACACACGCACACAAATGACATGTGAACACACCCTACATGAGTCCCTCACTGATGAGTCAAGCCAGAGAAACACTGGACAGATAATGATATAGATGAGACACCTGCATCAACAGCTGGACTCGCAATAACATCACTACACTTCACCTTACTCAGGACACACACACACACACACTGCAATTTTCCTGTTATTTTATTCTACCCTTCATGTACAGTCACGTGTAGCGGAGGCCAGCTAGTGTGTGTTGTGCAGGTAAATCTCACTCCTCTGACCTCTAAAGGTGCTCTAGCGACAGACACTAGAGGTCATGACCTTTAGCCTCCTCGGTAGAGCAACCGACTCCCATGCGGAAGGTTGCCGGTTCGATCCCAGCTCGGAGCGGGTTGTGTGGCGTAGAAACAGCGAGGCTACACATGAACACACTAGTGTCAAGAGCGAGTAGTTTACTGATCAATATTTATAGTCATTTCTCCCAGAGATAATTAAATCAGTAAATCCAAACCCACCGTGCAGAACACAAGAGGCCTTTATACTCACCATCATTAACCATTTCTGGAATAAACAGCTCATAAATGAACTACATGAAGAACATCTGAACTCCATTCACACTATCCAGTGCACACTTCTCTTACAGTAGTGTAGTGAACTCCAGCTGAAATGTAGTACATACTCCAGTAGTAGATGATATTGGACGCAGCCTGTTTAATTAATTAACCTTTGCTCATTATGAAGATGATTAGTGAGGACAAAGCAGCACTTCATCATCATCATCATCATCATCAGAGAGCTGCATTAGAGATAACTCATGACAGACCTCTGCTCATCTCCTGCTGAGGACTCCTGCCAGCACACAGACATGAGGACGTGTGTGCGACTCTACAGGTGGTTTGTCAAGTCCACTCACTAGAAACACAAGTTTATTAACATGCAGGTACAAACACTACAGTCACGTGGCCAGTTATTGAGGTCACGTGCAGCTGAACAGCGTCAGAGCAGCTTGAACATTCCGCTAAGCATCTGCGGGAAATCAATCTGCGAAAGATAGCTCATGATAAATCTGAACTGAAGCACAATCCTCATCTGCAGTGTGTCTCCCGGTGTTTATATGAGTGTGTGTGTGTATACCTGTGTGTGTCGCTGCTCGTCTGGATCTCCGAG